TAAAAGAGAGCTGTGCACAGATCTCTCCTGGCAACAAGTAAATTAATAACTGAAGGAGCTCAAAATAAAGACAAGACTATCACATGAAAGTGAGGGATCATTAAACTACGTTAAAAAGCAACTTCTTGTCAGGTAATCACATTTTCTGGCTTAGTTTCTGTCTTCTAAAGGTTGCAATTTCATGGTGCTTACTCTGTAAATACCTAAGTCTAATATCTGTACAAAAGCCTGTATGGGGTTTGTCTCTTATCCCTTCATATGCAAATATTAAACAGTGAACTCGAACACCATTCGGCATGTACTGATTTTATTTTACCGAAGTGCTGCAATCTTCTCCAGTAAAAGAAAATGCACTACTTCCATTCTTACGACTGTCCATCACGGCACAACACAACATCACGACTGCAGCCTCCGCTCGCTCCTCAAGTCATCCATCACTGCCACCCAGGTGAGTGAGAATAGAGTCAAGCGTCGAGCCGTGACAGCTTGAACCCCGAGGTGCTTGAATCATCTGCCACTCAGCTTGCAGAGGCTCTCTGACACCTCTGCAACGTGTTCCTGCAGCTGCACCGGGTGCTTGGAACCTGTCTGACTCCAGAGCCAAATAAAGGGTCCAGACCTGCAGGACTAACACGCTGTCATTCATGGGTCAGCTCCGATGAGACTTTCTCTGTGCTTCCAGTCTCCGTGTTCATTAGAGCTCCACACCTGCAGCTCTCATATTCCCTGCAGATGTGTTCACTGCTTACTTTTAACTCCTGTGAAAACACTTCACAGAGCCATAACTCAGGTGGTATTTACTATTTAAGTGCAAGTAACAACACAAAGAAACATGAATAGTATCCATTTCTGTTGAGATGTTTTTGACAGCTTTAAGGTGGAAATAACAGCCTTAAAGGTTCATCGTGATCTAACCAAAATGTCATCTTGCCTTTTGAGTGAGTTCAAGTTATTGAATAGATTATATTACATACTTTTTATATTATTATATACTTTTCCAGCAGCTCGTAGGATGTTTGAGAAGTTTCTTTTAGATGATTTGCATTATGAAGTAAAGAAAAGGGGAACTTAGAAACCCCTACAGTTGACTTACACACTGATGAGATATAACATTATGACCACCTGACTAATATTGGTCCCTCTTTAGATGCCACAACAACCCTGACCCACTAAACATGAAGATGTGCTGTTGTATCTGGCACCAAGATTTTACCAGCAAAGCTGTGAAGTGAGGCCTTCATGGATCAGACTTGTTTGTCCATCGTATCCAAACGATGGTCAATTGGATTAAGGTCTGGAGAATTTGGAGGCCAAGTCAACACCTCAAAGTCATTGTTGTGCTCCACAAATCTTTCCTAGACCATCTTTGCTTTGTGGCAGTGCGCTGTTCCTGCTGAAAGAAGCCACAGCCATCAGGGAATACAGTTTCCATGAAACCATGTTAATGGTCTGCAACATTGCTTAGGTAGGTGGTGCGTGTCAGAGTAACATCAACAAGGATGGCAGGACCCAACAAACTGATGCACGGTGTATTCTGACACTTCCATTAACTGTTTTGGTCATTTGAGGTAGCTCATCTGTTGGATCGGACCACACGGGTCAGTCGCCACAACCTTACAGTCATGAGTGAGCCTTGGCCGCCCATGTGCCTGCTGGTTAACCACTACTTTTGACAGATGGTGACTACTGCAGACTGCCAACATCCCACAAGACCTGCAGTTTTGGAGACGCTCTTAATCAAGTAACATGACCATGACCTTTCTGTTACTCTTCTCGCTAAGCTAACTTTCTTCTGATTGGCTGCCCCTCACAAACTGTCTGTATTGGTGCATTCACAGAAGCCTGAAGTTTAGGATTACACAAATACGTCCAGATACACTAAACTTATTATCTGAAAATGTGGCTGTGTATCTATCAGACAGAAAATAGGAAAGAAAAATCAATACAGTAATAGTATAGCTTAGATACTACAAGCAGCATCTACTTATAGTAGATTTATGGGTTAAAAAATGACCTCCAAAGATAAAAAATGAAAAAGATACAATTTTTTTAAAGGTTTGGATTTTGATCAGCACCAGAGACTGCAGTGCTGAGCCTGTCTAAATCAATTATAGATTTGTAATATTAACAAAAGGTGCTTGTCATGAAATATAAATATAGACGCATTTGTGTGAGAGTCTCTAAATTGCTGTCAGGAGTTAATCTTTAAGTTAAGTGTACAAGAATTAATCTATGGACAAAATAAAGAATTAATCCTCACAACAGACTTGATATAAAGAGACGTTTTGAAAAAAGTTTTTTTAAAGACTACAAATCCCTGCAAGCTTCCGGTCGCGAGCTCGTTCACAGAAGCATTTGATTGGACAAACTCAGTAAAGCGCCTTATGATTGGTTGACGGTGGCCATGTTTGTATTTCCAGCTGGTAGATGCGGGCTAGCTAGCCGGTTAGCTACCGCTGCATTTGGCTCTTTCTTCGGGGTGAAACATTAAACAAAGGCCGTGCCACCCCGTTAACACCGGCTTATCTGACAGTCGCAATGCCGGTCCACTCGCGGGAGAAGAAAGAAAGCAACCACGAAGAAATGGAGGTGGACTTTCCCGAGCAAGACGGCAGCACCACAGACGAGGAGGATACCGTGAGCTCGTCCGTGTCTGAAGATGGAGACAGCTCGGGTGGGAAAAATAGGCCTTGAACATCAACCGACAGTTAAACTCGTGTTACCTACTCGAGTGTAATTTATATGTTTAACAGTGCGCGTGATTTCTCTTAAAAATAGGCTGACAGGTTGAGCTTGGGTGTGAAGTGCAGTGTGGGGTTGTCATGTGGATGAGGATAAAAAGCAGTTGTGTGGAGGGGTTGTCAAAGATGTCATGTCTGTATGTGAACAGAGATGGACGATGAAGACTGTGAGAGGAGGAGGATGGAGTGCCTGGATGAGATGACCACGCTGGAGAAGCAGTTCACTGACCTGAAGGAACAGTAAGCTCTCTGACATGTTTCACACTGAAAGCAGCTCTGACATCTGGGACTCACACTCTGAGGTGTTTGTCAGATTCACTGGGATATTCCCAGTGACATGGGCCAGGGATCTTGGTCCATTTTAGCCAGTATTACTGGTCAATATCATGGATTTGTCTTGTTGCCTTCAGGCAGTTTGTATAAAGTACTGGTTCTGAAATGGTGTTCCAGTATGCTGTGAGGCTGTAAGTCCAGAGGCCTATACTACAAAATAAGTTCAACATACCCACGCAGCCATCTACCAGTTTGCCCCAACATAGAGGTTTGTGAGCGAGAACTGGAAACTATCCCAGCTGTTACAGGGAGGGGGGGACATGAGCGTAGTGGTGCTCAAACACAGCTATAAACACTGCAGACTCGCTCACTATCTGCACACTGAAGTCCACACACGATAGTTTACAGGAATGATTGACATAACCTGCTCTGGAGGAGGTTGTAGGTTACCATGGCAATGTACCCCGCCATGATGTAACCTATATAAGTGGCCGATGTCATTGAAACATTTATGCTTGTGCTAGTGCATCACATGCTATTTACCATGTCCTTTCTCCCCTCCTGCATCCCCCGCTCTTTGTTGTGGTCGGTTTTTCCAGGGTTAACGTATTTGTCCCTCTAATTTTCCCACTGCTTGCACATTGTCCCACAGCCCTTCTGATAGTATCAGCAATCAGTGCTGAAGGCCAGTCGCAATAGTTGTGGGCTGCCTCAACTGGTCGTGTAGCTCCATTTCTAGAGAGGTGCACACCAGGTTGTGCCATAGATTTCCTGCTGAAGCATAATTCCCCAGTAAGAAGTGAGTCATAACACACCCTCGTAACACTGAAAACCCAAAGGGTGAACCTGGATTTGCATCGATAAGCCCCAAATCTTGCTTCACAGTACAGACCTCCACTGTGCCTTTGGATTCTTTGTCCTGGGTTATTACTGTCCAGTCCAGGTACTTATGTCATATTTGGAGAGATTTCTACCTGTCATTCACCGGGCCGGGCCGGGCCAGTCACATTTATACATCAGTTCTAAAATGGGTCTGACAACAGACATTACAACACGGTTTTAAAATGTGACTATCTGCCGTTCAGGTTGTATAAGGAGCGTCTGAGCCAGGTGGACATCAAGCTCCAGGAGGTCATGGCCGGTTGTGCCCAAGAGTATCTGGAACCTTTAGCCAACCTGCAGGAGAACATGCAGATCAGGACCAAAGTGGCCGGTGAGTCTATAGTTGTCATGGAGACGTATAGGTGTGACTGTGACCTTGACATACAAAGTTTACATTGTAGTTTGTGAACCCAGTTGGATTAACAGTATTTCTGCAAATATTACTTACAAAATAAGGTCTGATCTCCATCTAAGTCACAAGTCCAAGCAAAGACGGTCTGACTGAACAAGACTGAATCATGCAGGCTGGAGAAATTAGGTGCATCCCTGAAGTGAACTTGTTTAACAGCAGTAATCTCCATCAGAGCGTTTCTGTAGCTTCTTTTCAGATTTCCACAGATTTCATCTGTGCTTCAAGCACGTGTGTATCGATCCTGATTTATGTGTAGAGATCCTGATCGTTTAAAGGGTTCACTATATTTTCTTGGCATTTTAAATGGGAATATAAACTTTGAAATACTATCACCTCCTTTATGTAGAACTCTCAGCTGTAGAAAAGGATCTTGTCCTTCCTGCAGATTAGATTTGTATTATTTTTTCCAGGGATCTACAGGGAGCTGTGCTTGGAGTCAGTAAAGAACAAATACGAGTGTGAGATCCAAGCAGCGTGCCAGCACTGGGAGGTGAGAGGTCAAGTTAAAATACATCTCGTTCAAAAACAGAGAATTCTTTATCTTTTTTCTTTCTTTTGAAGTTGCAAATACGTCTGTAATTTTAGATTTTTGAGATGTTTTGCTTAACTGTGGAGTAAATTCAACTCAATCCTACTAGTTTAAGCTATTTGACTATTTTTGCTCAGTATTGTTGTGTGTGTGTGTGTGTGTCCGTGCGTGCGTGTGTGTGTGTTTTCTGCCTTCTAGAGTGAGAAGTTGCTGCTGTTTGATACTGTGCAGAGTGAGTTGGAGGAAAAGATCAGACGACTGGAGGAAGACAGGCACAGTATCGACAT